AAAATCATTGTTTATTAAAACATTTCATTGCCCAAGGCACTTCAGTAGCTTTCCCAAAATACATTCTTTTTTAAAGTGAATCGTATGCTTTAGGAGTACCATGGCAACATAATCAGAAGAACAGACAATCACACTGAACACAAAACACCTGCTGATGTAACAAGACTGCAGTCAGCAACTCTGAGAGACTGTGAACACAATTTACATTTCTTTCTTGTAATTTTCCCCATGATTATACATCGTAAAAGGAACAAGCATAGTGTTGTTTTGGACACTCAGAGCAGTAATAGTGGCTAAGGCTGGGAAGGGCAATTTCTCTTCCATGGTGGCAACTGCACCCCAGCCAGGGTAATTCCAGGCTGAGAAACACTGTTCCCAAGTCTCTGCTGAAGATACAACAGACGACAAGCAAAACAAAGCCCCATGGCAGTGCTGAGAGAAGGAAGGGACATTGTGTCACCCATACATTCCCTTCAAGACACAGCTAAGTGTCTGGTCTACACATCAGCGCAAGACCAGCCTTGGCCTCAACAGTGATTTCTCACCGCCTGGACAAGCCCGGGACTCTGACCAGACACACACAGCACTCCTGGCTGTGGGACTGAGCAGCCACAATCCACACACTGCTGACTTACATACCTGTTTCCACCTTCATGTCCTCTATGGTTCCCTAGGTCTTGTGGTCTTCTGTGGTGAGGTAAAACAATCACAGCAAGGATTTTTGTCACTTAGAAAAGATGAGAAATCAAACTCTTCATGGAATCATTAATCTTCTCCGAAGAAGTGTTGTTTGTTTCCTTCTGGTTCTTAGTATGGATCTCAGGGCCCTGTGCATCCTAGCCAAGCACACTGCCACTAAGTGACATCTATTCCATTTCCTGTGAGTTTGCAGTTAGGGAGAGGAGGGAAAAACAGACCTGCAGTTCTATCTGTGCAACCTTACCAGTCTTCTAAAATAGCAAAGCAAGTCTACAGTTGTTTCACACAGTCTTCTAAGTCCCACTTGTTTAAGAAACTCATTAACTTCTTTGGAAGGGCCAAGGCCACCACTGGAATGGATGTGCAAGCTGTCTGTGGTTAGTCTTGATGTCCCTAGAGGAAGGTGGCTCTCCAGGACAGACGCAGCAATCCATGAGCACATTAGACACAAGGTCAGCAGAACAGAAAAGCCCCTGGTCATTGACAGCGTTTCTGACAACATGCAGGTTGTCTGCTTAGTCTTTCATCTTCTGGAGGGTTAAAAGGCTGTGCTTTTTAGGACTGTTGGGCTTTCTTCACCATCCTTTATCATCCTTGTTTGGTTTTGGCTTTGCCATTGTTTTATTCTATTAAAACAAACAAAACAATGTTACTTACAAATCATATAAAGATGCCTATCAGTGTCAAAACAAGCCAGATCTGGAGAAAAACAAGGACACAACAGATTCTGAAGTTTCCTGTAGTCTTTGCAGTAAACTAGAGCTGCTGCTTTCATGGCCATGCACATGGACAGCTGTTCACACATTAGGCCAATGCTCTCATAGCACCATAGTTAAAGCAGCCCAGTTATTTGTAAGACAGTGTGCAGGGAGCACTACTTTAAGGTATAGACCCCTAAGACCTGGCCAGACCCAGATTGAGAACATCCCTAGTGTTAGGAGGAAGGTCTCTTACCCTTTGATCCTTAGCATTTGGTCGATGGTGTCTGGGAGAGGGACACCAAAGCTCTCTGGGAAGAACAAGGTAAGGATAGCTGTCAGGATGGTCAGACTTCCCATGAGGATGTAAGGCAGGTAGCGGTCATAGGCACCTGTAGTCAAACAGAGGACCCAGGTTACAGTGAGAGATGGTTTCATTCTTGCCCTATATAGGATTCTATATAGGACTCACCTTCCTGTTGGTCTCAGTGTTTCCCAAAGCCTGGGCTGCTAGAGTGAAGTCTGGCATCTAAAGAGTCTTAGAACGCAGTCCCAGCACAGGTGTACCCAGAGGTCCAGCAGTGTCCACAATGGACAAGGGAAATGTATAGGGGAGCAGAGACACCAAGCTGCAGGGTTCCCAAGGCAAACAAGATCCTTGTCCAGGGTAAAGCAACTGTCCACCTCTGCAGCTGTGTCCCAGTTTGATTTGCATTCAAGTTAGACAAAGTGCTGCAGCCCATTAGAGCCACGTACCATGCTTTCAGAGTACTTGCTACTCTCAGGACACTGGCTTCTGGGGCTACAGAGCAATTTCAATCCCAGTTCAAACAACTCAGAGAGCCACTGTCTTGAAAAGTAAAATGGGGGCCAGGGAGATGACTCAGCTTGTAAAAGTGCTTGCTGCTATGCCTGGTGGCCTGAGTTCAGTCCCCAGGAACCACATGTAGTAAAGAAAGAACTAATTTTAGGACTCCCCTAAATTGTCCTCTGACCTCCATATAGACACTGAATGAATGAAATAAGTCACGGTCACTGTCAGTCTACCAGTCAGATCGCTTAAATGGACAGGTTCTCTTCATGCTCCTAACTCTAAGAAGAATCTCCTCTAGTAAAGAGCACTGTCTCCCTAAAGAATTTCTTAGGATGAAGAAATTGTAGTTTGTGATGGAGAGTCTGGGGAGACTGAAATTGAAAGCCTCACTTTCTTATCCTCATCTGGCTGGTCTGTGAGTTATATTTCGTTTGAAATGGGTGCCTTCTTCTCCAGTCAGGGTCCCAGTAAGGGATGCATCCTGCTAACTATACGGCTTGTGTCCAGCTCACATTAAGGCTACTTAGAGCTTCTGTCTCATCTACTGCACCAGTGCACGATGGTACTCACCAAGGTAAACAAAGTAGGGAGACAGGATGCTGCCAAGGCGGGATGCTGTGGAGCTGACCCCCACACCCATGTTTCTCACCACAGTGGGGTACAGCTCAGCTGTGTACACGTAGACCATGGAATAGGCAGAGGTGATCCCAAACTTGCCCACCATCACCAGGGTAGTAGACAAATAAAACAATTCTGGAGAGACAAAGGAAGGATAGAAAAGGCAGGAGGGACCAATGCAAGGGTTGCCCTGGAGGAGTTCTCTTCCCTTTCAGCCTAAAATGAACTCACTTTATCCCAGATTTGGGCTGGAGAGAATTGGTCAGTTTCTATACCTTCCTACTGAATGAAAACATCATGGCTTAGATTTCTTTCTAAGGGGATTACTAAAAGGAGACTGGGCACTTCAGCTATGTGAGGGTAATGGTGTTCTTAAATCTAGAGGCCCTTAAATCAGTATGTGCCCCTCAGCCCAATCTACCTGCCTTCCAGAAGTCATCCTGGGTTAGGAGCTGTTTCCCCAGAACCTCATACTGAGGGCACTGTGGAGTTAACCAAGGACTTGTATGAGTGGGGGAGTTTGCTAGCTTAGTTCATGCTTGCAGTCTACTCAAGAAGTTCACAGTCTGGGCATTGAGGTGGCTCAGTGGGTAAGGGCACTTTCAGTCAAGCCTGAGAACTTGAGTTTGATTCCCAGGACCACAGTGGAAGGAGAGAACTGACTCTTCCCACTTCCTACACATTGTCCTCTGACGTCTACATGTGTGCTGGGATACATGTCTCCCTCTCCAAATAAATAAGTGTAGTAAAGTCATTGAGAAAAAAGTCTATAAACCATGTGAACTTAGGGATGATCCTCTAATTGACTTCACTGCCCAATGAGTATAACTAGTGACACAATGGTCTCTCTACTCTGGTTCCTTCTGCTACAAAAGGGGCTGTTCCTGTGCAGAGTATCACAGTCCTCAAAGTAACCACCAGAGGTTCCAAAAGCCACAGGGGTATGGATGATTCTGGCAAGTGATGGACAAATAAGGCTTGTCATCTGTTCCACAGGTTGTCAGAAAGGGTTCCTCCTGTCTATTAGTCCTTTCCATAGCCTCTGAGACTGTTCTTCTCTTTCTTTTATGAATCACTAGTTCATAAAAGAAGCAAACTGGGCTCACTACCTGCCAGAACATTGTTTTTATATATTTATTTTTAAATAGGGTCTCATATAACATAGATTGGCCTCAGACTCCCCAGACAGCCAAAGATGAGCTTGAACATCTCATTCTCCTGCATCCACCTCCCAAGTGCTGGGATTAAAGGCATGTGCTACCACTGCCCTGCACTCCCTGACTTACTTATGGTGTTCTGTTATCTCATTTAAATTCTGCTGAATACCTTTGCTCAGGATGTTATCATGACTGCTCTTTAGATGAGCTCTACTTGGATGAGTTCTAATGTCCTTTCTTTCTATTCACAGAAGGTAACAACATCTCAAGATTAACAACCATATATTAACTTGCTTCTCTTCTCTCTCTCTCTCTCTCTCTCTCTCTCTGTCTGTCTCTGTTTCTCTCTCTGTCTCTGTTTGCCTGCCCCCCCCCCCCGTTTCAAGACAGGATTTCTCTGTGTAATAGCCCTAGCTGTCCTGGAACTAGCTCTGTAGACTAGGCTGTCTTCAAACTCAGAGATCTACCTGCCTCTGCCTCCCGAGTGCTAGGATTAAAGGTGTGCCACCACTGCCTGGCTCTTCTCTACTAGAAAGAGTGTCCATTAAGACTCACTTAAGCTATTGCTTGAATAAATAAAGACAGAGCCGGGCAGTGGTGGCGCATGTCTTTAATCCCAGCACTCGGGAGGCAGAGGCAGGCAAATCTCTGTGAGTTCGAGGCCAGGCTGGACTGACAGCCTCCAAAACAATACAGAGAAACCCTGTCTCGTAAAACCAAATAAATAAATATACATTTAAAAAAAAGTAAATAAAGACAGAACTACTGGGGGAATGACTCTCCTTCTTCCTCTTTATTCTATAGAGGAAACCAGATATGAACACGTTAACTTGGGTCAAGGGTATAATTAACCATCAAGCCCAATGCTTTCTTCACCCTCACAAAGCCCAGGCTATGAAGATCCCCCACATCCCCATTTTTTTGAGAGACATCATCTCTTGGTTTTTAAGACAGGCAGTGCACACACATGCAGCACAGACAGGATAGGCCTGACTGTGTTCTCTTTGTAAACAGTCTGGTTCTAGGCTGTGACACAATGAAGACGTAGGTCTGCAAATAAACAACGTCCATACCTGAAGGCACCAGCTGCAGGAAGAGAAGGACACTGCCGCCCAGGAAGAGGGCAGCAGAGATGGAATATCTCCGGGGCAAGTACTGCAGCAACAGCCAGGCCATCACATAGGCTGGGACTTCAACAGCCGCCGAAAAGAAGCTGTTCACATAGATGTCCCCATGCAAGTTGGGAGTGTCAAGAGAAAGTCCAAAATAGCCCACTGATATGGTCAGCCTGCAACAGGGGACAGAAGAGAGCTGCAGAAGCAGTACCTATCTCTCCAGACCCACACACCTTGAGAAAACTCATCTTGACAAGTTCTGAACTGCTCTTGATGCAGGGAATGGGCGGGTAGTAGTAGATTTTACCCTGTGCTTCCTACTACAAAAGTAGTAACTTTCTGTAGCCCCAGCCACTAGTTTAAATCCTTTGTTAGTATACCTTCAGAACATTCCATAAAAAAGTATCTCATCAAAAGAGTTTACATGGTTTACACTGACTTCATCAGTAGGGGGAAGGTCCAAACCTGTATTTCAACATTAAAATCCTACTCAAGCATTTGCTAAAGCCCAATTCCCTGCTCTATATGCTTCTCCAAACACAGCAAATGTAAGAGGAGCTAGAGAATGAGACTGGGTAAGGTGCGACAGAAGTGAAGGATTAAGACAAAACACAGTTCAAACATTTGGAGAAGGACCATCGGTGAACTATCTTTAATCAGCCAGGGAGAGGCTGACAGCAACCCCACTGTGCTCTCCAACAGGGAGCTCCCAATGGTGAGGCCTCACTGTCCCTCACTCACCACTCCCATGCCTGGCTCGGATCCTAATAGGTTTCTCTGTTGATGAGCTATACCCTTTGGCACCAGACAGTCTTTGACTCATGCACAGATTGAAAACACAGTTGGTATGGTGAAGGAAGAGAGTAGGCTCACAAGCCCCAGGAAACTCCAGAGCATGATTAGAGTGTGACTGATTCAGAGTGGGTAAAATGTTCCAGGCTTGAAGTCTGAGGTACAGTCTCCATGCTCGCCCTGTCTTGAGGCAGATTCAGGTGTACCCCACTGCCTTTAAGGCATCCTGGACAATTCCTTGGAAATGGGTGACTCACAGACCAACCCTATCCCAAACCAGGAAACAGACTAGCTTACTGCTCCAAAGCTGGCTGAGCCTTTTAGCAAAGACTCTGAGGTGAAGTCTACCCTTCTCACCATCTTCTCACATTCATCCGGTGGAGTCAGGGATCTCTGATACCCCAAGGGTCTGGCAGAAGCTATGCAAGCACTCAACCTTGTTCCCTTTCCCCTGGTAACTCAGAGATTCCTTCCTGATAATTGCAACACCTTGTGGGAAAAAACCTGGAGAAAACATCCAGGCTATGACCTTGACTTTAGGGCAGTCTACGAACATCCCAGAAGGGCCATATTCCACTTTCATGTTTCCAGAAAGCTCTTAGCATCTGGAACCTAAAGGATAAAGTGTCTTCACTGAGACCCTTCCTCAAATCCCCTCTGTCCTAGCCAGAGAGTGTGGGTCCTCAACAGAGAACACTTTTAAGAGGAAACAGCCAGGCATGGGGGGTGGGTGCAGGGGGCGTGTGCAAATGATAGACAACATGGCTCCACTGTAGAGGAGCTCCCTCTGTCTCCATGAGCACATTAGAGTTTCTGTCAGGCTATCTACCACAGATAATCTACTGAGGGAGAGGACAAAGGACAGGAACAACTAAGCAAGAACCTGTGGGATTCCCTCTATGATCATTTTCTCCTTTTCTGGGTTTCCATTACATAAGAGCTGTTATGTCCCTGTGGCTGCTATCTATCACAAGAACAACCCTTGCATCATGTGAAGGCAGAGGTTTTCAGCTTTGGTCTGAGCATGTTTGTAGAAAGTGTCCTGAGAGTGGGTAAGGCTCAGGCAGGTCTCACTTACGCACCACAGGATTATAGACATGATGGTGAGGATCCTGATATTCCGGGTTCGGATCAGATCATAAATGTGGTGTGACTGAGGCTTCTTGGAATTTAGGTCTTGTAACTGCAAGAATAATATAGTTAATGTAATAGAAGGAGAAAAAGCTGGAGACCACCTGGAACCCATCATTTTCATTATCTACTTCTCAAAAGTTAGGGAGCATTTTAAGGTTCTTCCTTGAAAATACAGTACAGTGGGGGCTGGAGAGATGGCTCAGAGGTTAAGAGCACTGACTGCTCTTTCAGAGGTCCTGAGTTCAATTCCCAGCAACCACATGGTGGCTCACAACCATCTACAATTCAATCTGGTGCCCTCTCCTGGCTGAACACTGTATGTGTAATAAATAAATAAATCTTAAAAAAAAAAGAAAATACAGTACAGTGACTTTTGATGTTCAAGGCCCCCTGCAGGCTCAGTCAATGACAAAAGGGAATGAAGGACAATTAGGGATAATGAGAGGTATCCAGCAATTGCAGAGGTCTAGGTGACAGCCACTTCACTGCATCTCCCTGCCCATCCTCACCACACTTTTCAGAGGTCTAGGTGACAGCCACTTCACTGCATCTCCCTGCCCATCCTCACTACACTTTTCAGGGAAGCCTTTGAGAATTCCTATGCAAGGCTGACTCCCTGCCCTCTTGGTCAGAGGAAAAAAAATGACTGTGAATTTTTGCTAAATTTATATTTAAGTGGAATGAATGTTTTGAGTTCTCACACTGTGTTATTATTGGTCTACTTCCAGGAGAAAAATATTCAAATTGAAAACAGGAAAACTGACCCGTCCTTCACCCAGAGTAACTTCCTATGAGATTCCACAGGCCCAAGGCCATCACTAAACCACATGTCTAAACACACTGATGCTCTTTCTTAGCTAACTCAGCTTAGGAGCTTGTTTTTAACCCATCAGTTTAGCAAAAAGATCAATCTGGAATTCAGAGAAATCCTGGAATACCCTCATTTCCTCAGTGATGCCAATGAGGCTATGGGTTCACCCAGACTGACCCCTTACTTAAATGCCACCAAAGCCACCTCACTTAAAATGCCCAGTCACATTCCAGCCCTGACTTCTGTGCTTCAGAGTCCTTCTAGAGCATGCCGAGTGACTGCTGCTGCTGGGCCACCACTTAAGGGAGACGCCAGCAGGGCTGTTGGTGGCCAACAGCTTCTCAACTACTTATAACAACTGCTTCCTCTCTCACAAGCCCCAAGTCCTCATCACGAACCCAGAGCATCTAACATGTCTGCTGCTCACACTTGAGCATGGCTGCGGGCAGTTGTCCTTGACCCTTGTCTTCTCAAACCAGGCACGTACTCAAGATCCTGTCTGCCAACACGGTAGTGTCTAACTTCATGAATCTGAAGAAAACTGCCTGCTACTGAAGAAGGAAAGGAAAGGAACAGGAAGCAAGAACTCAGAGTACCTAAGAACAGGGAAGAGGTGGCTATCAGAAAGAATCTGGTTGCAGGATGATGGGAAACAATTAACTGAGAGTGAAAAGAGACAGAACCCTGATGAGTGCAAATCTACCTGTGTTCCAATAATCTTCAGATGATAATCCCAGAGGCATAAGAAACAATGACTTCCAAAAATGCTAAAGTTGATAAAAGGCTATTTCCCATGAAGGGTCTTTGCTATTAAAAGTAATAATCTTAGACCTAGGGAGGCAGAGACAGATCTTTGTGAGTCTGAGTTACACAGAGATTTCCAGACCAGCTAGGGATATATATAGTGAGACTCTTACAAAAAAAAAAAAGGAATTGTTAAAAATATGTTAGCAGCTGGTGGTGGTGGTGGTGGTGGTGGTGGTGGTGGTGGTGCACACCTTTGATTCCATCACTTGAGAGACAGAGACAGGCGGATCTCTGTGAGTTCAAGCTTAGTGTACAGAGCGAGTTCCAGGAAAGCCTACAAAGCTACAGAGAAACCCTGTCCAAAACAACAACAAAAACAAAAACAAAAAAGAAAAAAGAAAAAGAAAAGAAAAGAAGGGGAAAAAATTCATGGGAGAGAATAGGTAGTTGGAACCCACTTTTCATGCTCTGAGGTTTGTGTGTATTCCTGTTCATGTGTGTATACCTGTGTACACCACAGTAATGTGTGTGTATATGTAGGCTAGAGGTTGACCTAAGACATCATCTTCAGTCACTTTTCTACCTTAAATTGGGGACAGGATCTCTCATTGACTGGTTAGCTGGCTGGACAATAAGCCCCTGGGATCCTTCTGACCCTGCTGCCCTAGTGCTGGGATTAGGGGCACACTCTGCCATGCCTGGCTTTTTGGTTGCTTGTTGGGTCCTGGACTGAGGTCCTCATGCTTGCATGGCAAACACTTTATAGACTGAATCATCTCTCCATTCCTTTAACTTCTGCACTGTAAACAGACCTTGCCTAAGGATGGCTGGGGTTTGGGTAGAGTAAGGGCTGGGTTCTTGTGAGCTGTGCTGTATGCTATGGACCTAAATGACCAGTGTGAGTCTTCCACCAGCTTCCACATGGTACTTACCTCATTTGGATCAAAGATAGTGGAAGGTGCAACAATCCCATTGGTTTTGGCAGCTCTGCGAATGATCACCTCTGCCTCTTTAATTCGGCCTTGAGAGATGAGCCATCGGGGAGACTCAGGAATAAACCTGGGAGTACAAGTACAATCTAGTGAGGCCCCCTGTTCATTTGCTCTCCCAGAGGCTGGGCATGCTTAACTACAGATGGGAAATGAGGTTTCAGATGCAGAGGTAAGTGTGTGCAGAGTCAGGTGTTCATAAGGTGTCCATAGCTCAGTGACCACCTGAGGTATGATGCTGCTGAACACCAACTGCATGAGAAAAAGTTGAAGCAGCCTGTACATCCCCAGGGGATCCCCATCTGGCTGGTACCTGCCTGTCTGCAGTAGTGGTGCCCTGTAACCTGCATTCTACCTGTCAGCCTGGTCCCAGAGCTGTATCAGTCCCAAATAAACACACAGGACGCTATATTAATTATGAACCTGTTGGCCATTTGCTTGGTTTCTTATTGGCTAGCTCTGACTTAATTATTAACCCATAACTGCTAATCTGAGTATTTCCACGTGATCTTCTTTTACCGGAGAAAGGGGTCGGGACCTCTTACTTCTCCTGAGTCCTACATTATGACTGACTGTGCCTCTGTTTCCCAGAATCCTTCTCAACTCTTAGTCCTACCTATCTTGCTTCCCTATTGGCCAATGTGCTTTATTTAATAAACCAATAAGACAACATATTCACAGAAGGACTTCCCCCATCAGTGCCCCCTTCTGGGCTTTCAGGAGACAAGCACAAGATGGGCTCCTGGTGCTTGCTTCCTGCTGAGAGTGAGGCACACCCAGATCCTGCTATCTTTACCCTGTCCCACAGACACTCCTGTAGCGATCACTTAACCTCATTCCGTCCTCACTCCATCTGTGATTTAGTCACAGTCTCGTCAGTCTCTTTACACAAAACAGCTGGTTCTCAAGGCTGGAGCAGTGGTGTATGGAGTGTCAGTGGATA